AAATGCAGTACCTAGTTCTATTCGCAGCAAAGTAGCGTTATTCAAGGAAATGATTTTCCATTTGACCTGTAGGATCTATTTATCCTAATAGTTCGGGAGTGGTGTGCGTTTCAATTGCTGTAAGTTTTAGGTAAGTTAGCTCTGTTTGCATAAACACTCATGCTTTTCTGAAAGTTGAAATTCGTTGATATTTTCCCTAATCTTCTTCAGTATGCATCGGTGTCGCCTTTGTACGCTTTGTTGTTAGGTCAAATACCCATATCAAGTAAGGTGACTGATTGGATGCCATGCTTTGGAGTGCGGTAACGTATGGCGGTTGTATTTTACCGAGCTTTACTTCACATTAACGAGTGGTACATTTACTGCAAGCAGAATTTTATTGCAATGTTGTCCAAGGTTGAATTTTGATGCCCAATGTGGCGCAGCTTTAATTAACTGAGTGTGTCTTAACCGTTTCCTCCTTCTACAATATTAAACTCGTTTTGTATGCACTTCCTATCCGCCTTTATAGGCGTTTCCTTGGCTAATCAAATGCCATAGCCTTCGCTTAGGTTAATGTTTTTCGCAAATGTGGTATCCAATCCCGGTTATCTTATTGCACAGTTGTTTTTGAGAGTAGGTGGAGTTGCTTCGTTAATATTATTTTGATAACCATATGAATTCACTGGGTGGGTGGTATTCACTCCTTGTTTGCTTGCATTTAGGTACCAGTTTTATCTTTTTTGTCTTTGCTTGAGTGTTTTTTTGTGCTTTTGCTGTACGCATTGGAACGTGTTCAGGTCGAAACTGTATGGCGTTCATAACATTTTTAAAAATAGTTTTGGTAAATCGTCGTATGCTTTGTTTCTGTAATGGCGTTTGATTTTGATTGATGGGATTGATTTTCTTAGGTCGTGCCTTGCCTTAACTGGGTGCCTTCTTCTCATGGATTAGTTTCTCATTAGCAAGTTGCGGTTCTATTTGCACTTTCTTTTGCATCCATTTCCTTTTGTGGGACGAATGCCTGAGAATGCATGCAGCTGATATTAGGACCTATTGTTCTCTCCACTATAGTGTGCCTAGTGGCGTTCATTTTTGTGCTTTGCAATGATTCTCGTGGTTAAGTGAGACCGCTATGGCAGTGAAATTGAGTTGATGATGGGTTTTGAGCGGCGAGGTGGAATTGTGCTAAAAGCTCTCTAAGTATTTTGCTTTTTACCTTTTTCTTTGTTTTCTTGCTAAAGGCGCTGCAAAGACTGCCTTCACTGCGAGTGAATCACTCCTATCCCGTGGAGGCATTGGAGGCTTGATCTACTTCAGCTGGCGACTTTCTATTTCCGTCTGGTGTACGGCATTGCTTGTGACAAGTGGAGAGGTGGTCCTATGATTGCAGGATAGTAGTAACTAAATTGCACGCGGTTGGATGCTTTTGTGGTGTTTGCCAACTGTCCTGTCAATTGAGGCTTGAAATGTCGTGTATCCATATGACCTTATCTGACTAGTCAGTGCTTCATATAAATAGTGTACCTATCTCGACTGCCTTTCGACATGTTCATTTATCGTGAAACATACGTGCGATCGAGATCTGATGTGCGGCCCATTCGTTTTGGCTGGTGTTGGCAAGGTGAGGAAGTAGTGAAATTTTCATTTTATTGAGGTCTCCACACAGAGTTGATTAGTGGATTCATTTGCTTGTCGATTCTGCCCTGCATTAAGGTTTGCAAGTGCTCAACCATTTAGTCATTTCTGGGGGCTAGAAGTTGTTTAAATCATTAGTGAGTTAGAAAGATGTGGGGACTCGTAGTGTAACTGTTGCCTTGAAATTACAGTTTCTCACGGGTCTTGGTCTTTGAACTTGAGCCAGTATGTGAAAAGCGATGCGTAGGTGTAGTCGATTAGGCCATGAAAAATGGACCGAAGTGTGAAGCTAATGATTGTGAATACTAGTGTGGAGGAGGGTGCTCACACCGTCTCGGTGACCGTGTCTATCTTGTGAGTGATAGCGCACCTGTGGGTGATGGATGCCCTCACCTATTGTGGCCTTCGTTGATTCGAAAGTCAACCTTAGCTCAATTCCAACAGTGTCCATCTTAGTACACTTACTACTACACAGGGATTTAGAAGAAGTCTTTTTATGTCACCTCAAAAATTCGAGCACCAGAATGTGACTGCGACTCATTATCAGTAGTAGTAGGCATGCAGCAGTAATTGTTGTTCTAAGCGCTTTCTGGTGGTGGACAAGTGCAGACCGCACTACTTTCATTTCCGTTGTTGGAACTGCCCTAATTTTTGGTTCGAATGGGGTTGAACATTTCCTGAGTTTTTAATGAAGAACAACATCGATGCGGGACATTCTCTCATCCCCTGGGCTACCACAGTACCACATTTGAATCAACTCACTAGTGCAGTTACTTTTTACTGGAACCTTCTTCGCTCGATTTGCAGTAGCGGGAGACATTGGCAAGCTCACTTTAACGTCTGTTTTGCCCACCCTGAAGAACTTGATGTTGGTGTGCGTATAACTGAGTTTCGACTCACCCACTCCTTCATCATTGTTCCTACCTCTGCTTCCTCAGTGATGAATAGCAGTGGCAGTTGATCACATCAATCTATTTGATAGATCTGGCAGCTTAAATCTGCCCTAACTTTTTACTCTTCCAGTGGAATTGATCTTCCATCCCTCCTTCTGCGCCTTTACACCATGAAAGGCACCACGTAGTCTACCCTTGATGGTTTGAAAACGGTTAATTTTGCTTGGTATCCAAGTTCACCTTTGGATAACGTTACACTAACGCCATTGTTGTTGAGGCTGTTCATGTAGTTTGGGGCAGAAAAAATGGACATAAGTCGCGCATGGAAGCGTTTGTAACCTTCTCGGAAATATTGGTGTGCTCGAAAGATTTGTACGATGTTGTACTTTTCGACGAAGGAGAGCAACACATTGCAATCAAATAAGTAGCTGCATCCCCTCGGATTTCTTTCCCATCCCATCGATGAAGGATGCTTCTCTGGCATTGGATCAGACCATAGTAGGTCGCACATCAATCCTTTAAGGGGCACGTCCACGGGTCTGGGTATGCTATTGATGGCGCCTCGAAGATCTGTTACATTGGGCTTCATGAGCTCCTTTGAGATGCCTCCATGCATACATAAGAAACTATCATCAATCAATGCTGCAATAGGCATATGATTAAAGGCAACTACGAAGTTGTCGAGCATTTTGGGATCATTGTAGCGTTCGACAATTTCCCTCTTAAAGCCATATGTTTTGCATAGCCGCTCACACTCATGATTGCCTCGCAACAGGTAGATGTTGTGTGGATACTTCAGTTTGTAGGCAAATAAGAGTGTGACGGTTTCAATCGATTGTGGACCTCGATCCACGTAGTCACCAAGACAAAGGTATTGCTGTTCAGGTGGAAAACCGATTTGGTGAAAAATTCGCAACAAATCAAAGAATTGTCCATGAACGTCACCAATGATGGTGACGGGACACTCGAGTTCAAGCATCATCGGCTCATTCATGAATTTACCCACAACATTTGAACACACCAATTCTATGTCCCGCCGTTCTATATTCACGTACCTGCCAGGAGTGTTGAAGCCTTCGCGAAGATGATTAATCAGCGAATCCAGTATAGTGTCCAAATCCACATCAGGGATCACATCGAAGGGAAGTTGAGATTGGCTTGCCGTCATTACTGCGCGCTGGACTGTAATGGAATTGATTGGATCACGTGAGTGACGTGTGGCTACGAGCCTCTAATAGAAGTGGTCGCGCATTCCCAAATCAGACAGCGAGTGACATGCAAGAGGGAAAGGCGTGGACAAGACGCATTCATCCGCCCACCTCATGCACTGGATGAGGGGGTGGAGGGATGAAGTGAAAAGGTGGGGTGTGCCGCGACCCGGGATCGAACCGGGGACATTTAGATCTTCAGTCTAACGCTCTCCCAGCTGAGCTATCACGGCGCGCTGTTCGCGCCTCATGCATACCCACTCCACTACACAACCTCAACGCACACTCTTGCCTTTATTTCTGCGCATTTGCAACCACTACTCTACCACATTCCCATCACCACCACCACCACCACCACCAACCGCGTCTCCCTTTACATGCCGCACCTACTGCAACTTGACTCTCAACATGCATCCCTGCAGTGGCCGCGCAAACGCCAGCTTCCACGCCGCCAACAACTACGTCTTCACAACAATCATTTGACTAACACATTGTCGAGGACACATGGTGCCCGCGAGGCGACAGCACACAGGATAGGGCAGATCCAACGACTGCACCACGGCATCTGCGACGTCTAGACGAGGAAATGGGCTTGCTTTGAGAATTTAACACATATGCATCAACCCCCTCACGATGTTAAAATCATTCTTTTGCATGCACCTAGCGATGTATGCCCTATTCTTCCCGCTATGCCTGCATAAAATCAGGCAGATGTCACAAATCCTGTGACACTGAAATCGCTGCGTGCACGTAGGCATAACCACCGTATGGTTTCATACTCAACTGCGCGCATTTAGTCGTAAGGCGCTGAAAAGAACAGCAAGCGTCGCATTTCACGATTACTTGGGCAGAAATTTGCTCCAATGTGTAGTGATTTCGAGACACGTGTAGTGAGAAACAGTGGGGAGGAATGAACAAGGCTTCCGTTGATAAAATACGTCCAATAACGCTGGTTTCTTATGATAAAGGTACAAATCAGGTTTGGTAAATGAAACAGGTGGCGTCTAATAAATGGGAGACGAAGCAAAAGCTGTGTTTACTAATCACTGCTTTCTTCACAATTCCGTAGTATAAAGCTTTAAAACGCACGATTTTTTAACAAGCACTCTTGCATCAGCAATTTTCAAAGTCACAACAAATCAGTTCTCTTATGGTGTCCTTTTGAGTCACCTTGATCAGGCACGTCTTCCTATGTCGTCATTTTGATGCTAAAGCCACCACTGCGGCTGATTTGCCTCGGTCGCATCCATCCCTAGTAGTCACATTAGACCAATGCCCAGGCTTCGACTCCCAAAAGACCGTTCTCTCCGTTGGGTCATCAGAAGTTGTTTATTTAAGGCAAAGTGGAGTCTACACCCACAGATTTCATTAGCTAAATCACTGACAAGTGCATAGGGGATCGGTAGTCTGAGGTATAATGTTCAGCTTAGTGCTTAGCTGGACCCACAACAAGGACCTTGGCAGTGGAAGGAAAATGTCCACTTCCCATCCCAAGCCTACTCTCCACCCTTGTCACCACAAATGCTCAATATTCACGTCAAAAGGAAAAAAGTCAGTTTTCACTGAAGGTAGCCCTCCTTTAGTTGGAGCACAACCATAAAGTACATTGCTTGACCACAAAATGTCGCAAGCATCGCCTGTCGTTTGCATTAGCTTTGAGCTTACAATTAATTAAAGACTGCGTGCAACTGCATAATCGGCTGTAATGTAGAGGAAGGAGCGGTTATCGCTACTGGCCACTTGCAATTGTTCTTCATCCTTTATTACTTTAAGCTCCGCGCTCTAGTGACGCATAGTAGTGGGTTGAAATTGCAAGCGATTAACTCCTGAGATATAGAAGTGACCACAACTTTCCCAAATGAGAGGGCAGGACGTAGCATTCCAGCACTGTCCACAAGACAACAACAGCACTTGTTTCGAGACAGAACGCATAAAATTGGCGCTTGGGCATGGCCGGAGGCCTAGTGCATATGGTCTCGTTCACTGCCAAGGCCCTCGGTCCATGCCAATCACGATGCTGCCACAAAGGTGGGTGTGCACCTCATGCAGTCATAGCCGGTGTCGTCAACACGCTCGCTCATGTGGCTCAACGATGTATGCGGTCAAACGGCGCTCATGGATGCACACATGTACACTGTAGGTCAAGGACAGACTTACACGATTTCACAAACCACCGTGTGTAAGGCGTGAGTAAATTTCCTCGCCAGAGCCGAGAATGTGTCCCCAACCGCACCTTCTTCTGTTGACAACTGACGTCTTCCATGACGCCTTCACAGTGGCAATCAGTAAGGCATTCCGATCACCCTGCAGCCTGCCAATATGTCTAGTGGCAGTGGTCATTTGCCCACTTGGCAATGCTGCTGGGTTCCTCAGTGACCAGATTTCATTGCTCCTCATAACGCGCAGCTTGAAGCAATCAACCTGCACACAAAACGCATGAGGTGCGATCCGCCACCACATCCCCGTGGACGCATCGTCAACTACCGCATCTTATGGCACCTCGGCAACACGTGACAGCAAGTCGGCGTTTTGCCGCCAGTTAATGCATACACTCTTAAGTCTTTGAAGCCACAACAAATCATCGTAGCGCCCGTTAGTGCCTACACTCAGTCACACCATGGGAGCGCACGTTCTTCCATCCTCGGGACAAAGTTAGTCATTTCCAAGGCTCAAAACACCCAGCTTCAAGGCCACTTCCTGCTACTGAAGCAAGTAAGGAAGGAAACAGGTGCGCTCCCACCATTCTCTGCTCTCATGCGTGAGCGCTTGACCTTTCTACATGCGTAAAGCCATACATTGGCGGAAATGCTGTCCTCATATTTCTCTCCCGTGGCTACACATTTCCATTTGTTCAGATCCAAAGGTCCCTCAGAATGCGAGCCTCGGAACCATCGACCTGTACACTGTGCGCATGGAGTGAAAGCTGCCACCTCGACTCCTCGGACGCATTGTTCACTGCCACGTCCTTTGAGATGCCAACCAGGGGTAGCAGGGCATTATCACCCTCCCTCCAACTCAGACCTACACATTCGAACACTTGAAATCAGGACAAAGTCTTGCAGCTCATGTTGGCGTGCTCGCTCGGTCGAGCAATAGGAGTCAATTCGACCTCATTAGCTCCTCCAGCAGGGAGAGGGGAGTTACCCCACTCCCTTTTTGAAGGAGGTGAGTCATTTTGTCTTCCACACTCCCACTCTTACCATTCCCTGCCACAAAACACGGTCACTAACAAGGAAACGTACCCACCTAACTAGTCCACCAACTCGAATGCATTTTGCATATATAATTTTTCATCCAGGTCAATACTTGCCCCACTTCGACTCCACCTCGTCCCATGTGGAGACTCGTGGGTACACTGTGGTTCAAATATCCCTCAATCACACCACCCTTCTGCCAAAATAATGGCCTTGGGATGTCGGAACCTTAAGGTGTAGAGCGCACTGCTCTCCACCATGTACAACTCGAGGTAGTTGACCCTCACACTGTGCGTATGAGTTGGTACCCGCCATGCAAACACATCGGACGTGCTGACAACTGTCAACTCTATTGGAGGCTAAGCAATGGGTGATGCGGAGTCACCTTCACTCCTCTCCAAACATCCCACATCTTCAAGGATGAGAAGTCGGACCAAAACGTTAAAATAAGTGTCAGTGCCTACATAGTGTCCAGCTACATGGATGGGAATGCCGGCCTTTGTCCCATCAGCAACGAGTTGGAAGTCACCACGATTACTGATTACGCGTTACCTCACCTGCAGGCATTGGAAGGCATGCTGAAGGGGTTTTGATGTATGGGCGAGAAGAGAAGGGAATGTCACCTACTACCACGATCCCAAGGAGTAGCCCATCTCCACCGAGGCTTGTGTTGAATAGTAGAGTGCACTCCTCTCCTGACCACCTCCACGCTTGCACCCACCAGTTACGAGTAGTTCGCCCCAAGTGCTCTTCCCATACATCCCCGACTCCACTGCTTATGTGAGGCCTCTCTTGAATCTTTACAAGCTTCTATCAATCCCCTTCACTCCAACCTGCACAACTTAACACCCGCCTTCACTAATCCTCTTCTCCACTGCAGTTGTGTTT